AACCTTGTCAGTATTAGTGTATGGATTTAGAGGTTTAAAATGTAAGAGAAGTAAATACATATTGAAGTAAATAATGTATATTAGTAAACAGAGAAACGAAAAGGTCACAAAGACTTATTTTTTTGTAATTAACCTCTTCTTAAGTAACTAAAGCTACTTTAACAATGTCTTACGATAAAATATATATCAGAGTAATATTATGTTTTCAGTACTTGTATTGTGTATTTGTGGCAAAGCTACTATGGCTATCTACAGACCAGAAGGAAGGCAGCCAATCAGCAAGGCCCCCACTCACGATTTATAAGAAAAGAAATTGGGGCACCTTTTGAAACACTGGAATTTCTAGAGGAGTTATCCTTCAGGGATTGGCCCTAATAAATGATATTAGATAGTTCAAGATTCGTAATGCAATATATATATATAAATTAAATGAAAATTAAAAAGTAATAGGCAAATCATTTTGTTTTAATTATGTAAGGAGCCATTTAAAAAAAACAATTTTTGGTGAAATGTACGTAAAATATTTTTATTAAATTCATCGTTGTTATATTTTAAATATACGAATTTGGCCAACACTTAATCCGAGGGAAGATTTTGTTTGTAGTTATGCACAAAGCTACAGAATGGGCTATCTTAAGATATCTTTAAGATTTGATATTTTCACATCATTGTTTTGTGGTCGCTGAAAACCCTTGCTCATCTACAAATTATGATGTTAAGTTCATATTTTGTAAGTCTACATTACCCCCACAATGACACAAAAGCAAGTCTGAACTCTTATAATGCTAAAAACAGAGTTTCGATACCAGTGATGGGCACAGCACAAATAGCCCATTGTATAGCTTTGTACTCAGTTACAAAGAAACAAATGATTACACTGTTATCATGAGGTAAATTGTAAAATTTGACAATCTTTTATCAGAATTAATTTCGGCAATATTATAAACACTAATAAAAAAGAAGCAACACGTAAACTAGCGTGATAACCGACGCGAATATAGTTATATCTATAAAAGATCGTACCGAAAACAATTATGTTGTAATGTAATTTAGGTGGATCTATGGAACGAACCCAAGCGTCTCGGAGTTCCAGTGTTAATTCGTCTCATACCAGATGTCGCTCACAAAGTTGAATCGAGGTTGGCGAATGCAAACCTAACCTGTCTTGTGGTGTATGAAAACCTACAAAGGTTAGCTAACATTTTAGAGAAAAATATTTCTAAAAAAGTGATTAATCTATATTCTTGGATGACACTTTTATGTGTGTGTTTTTTTTAATATCACAGATGATAAATGCAAATTGAGTTTCGAAGTTTGATTAAAAATACATTTCAATTGCTAAAAAAACAAAGATTACGGAAATGTTAATGGCTTAATTAACGCTTGATTTCACGAAGTTTTATTATTTTTTAATTATGCTGTATTAATACAAAAAAAGCTTGTATTGTTAGCGCCATAGAATTTGAACACGCACAAAACAAGCGACAGTACAGACAGTACGGTAACAAGATATCTGGTTCTGGCTTAAATCTGGGAAGATACCATAACCTGGAAGAGGTAAGAAAGACGTTTTTTTTTTATTTTGTTAGTAACAGGATATGTGGTTCTGGCTTAAATCTGGGAAGATATCATAACCTGGAAGAAGTAGAAAGACATTTTTTATTTTGTTAGTAACAGGATGTCTGGTTCTGGCTTAAATCTGGGAAGATATCATAACCTGAAAGAGGTAAGAAAGACGTTTTTTATTTTGTTAGTAACAGGGTGTCTGGTTCTGGTTTAAATCTGGAAAGATATCATAACCTGGAAGAGGTAAGAAAGAAGTTTTTTATTTTGTTAGTAACAGGATATCTGGTTCTGGCTTAAATCTGGAAAGATATCATAATCTGGAAGAGGTAAGAAAGACGCTTTTTATTTTGTTTTTTAAGTATGTTCAGGAAAAGATTGAAAGCTAAAAAAAATCATAATGAAGAAAATTACGAAGTCGGAATACGTCAACGATTGTTGTGGTGGAACTTAAACCTACTTAACCACTCTCTAGCCGCCATTTCTTAATTTATAGAAAAATAAATCACACCTAATTTAACATTATATATTTTCGATGATTTGGCCTGCAAGGAAATATTTGTATCGAACAGTAGGAGATTCAAGGCCTTCTGATCCTTTGAACAGTCAGTTTCTCTCGAATTCTTGCGATGTCTAAATGTTTGTATTACTGAAGTTACAAGCCAAATTCCGCTTCTACTGATTTCACACGAAACTGAGATTACGTTTAGTTGATTAAGACACAATATTTTCCGAAATATATGTATATATATACAATATCAAGATTCGTCTAGTTATTTGTGTGCTTAAAAGTATACGTTATTGTTTTTAGATCTATGATTACATTCAGAATATTGTGGCAGCTTATCCTAATATTTCGTCAGTCATGAACATCGGAAAAACCTATGAAGACAGATCTATCTTAGGCATCAAGGTATGTACTCTCCACCCCACCCCCTCCTCCACCCAAATGCATTAATTAAGAATGTTAAAATTAGACCACGAAATTTGACTGCCAGGCGATTTTACCTGTTGAAAATCCCATTTTCCTCCCCCCCCCCAACTGTACAAGATAATAAAAAACGTGATTAAAGAAAGTTTCTTACACTAGTCCTATTTCTCACTGGCTTTTAGGTTCTAGTATTCAAAGGATTATAGTTGATACTGTTATTAAAATGCTATTACTATAGGCACAAATCAAAGCTCTCACGACTTTGTTAGATTTTAGTATATTTTTATTCGCTAGTCACAAAACAGATTGAATATTACGAGTACGAATCCTCATAAACAAAGGAACTAACTGTCGGAGTATTTGGATCTTGGTTTCAACTCGAGTTTGGAGTGTAGTGTTACTACATCACACACACTCTGCAAATAAACATCACTAGTGAACGAACTTATTCAACGCATGGGGAGGACATATCCCCCTCCCGGGTTTACATAGGGAATCAGACCCGAACACTGACCCTGTGTCATTCCCCAGGGGCCTCTAAGACCACATGTCAGGTTTGGTAACAGTCGGTCTAGCGGTTCGCCAATTATAAGCGAACATACACACAGACTTTTGTCAAAAAAGGATTTAGATTCAACATTTTTAACTGATTTATAAGTTTCTCTCTCTCTCTGTAGGATTGTTCTTTACCCAGTGATTGATTACTCTTATTTTTATGCAATGTTTTTTTAGTTCTTGTACTCGCCTTGTCCTGTAATTAGATATTTAGCAAAGAATCATAATCCTAAACTATAAATGATTTTATTACAGGTTGTTTGTTATTACTTTCAAGAAACTAACTATAATGTACAAATATGTTTCACGGATATATTCGTCATCATACGAAAAATAATTCTTAATTTTTTTTGAGACATTGGAAATGACAGCAAATCAGGCTACTGATAAAATGTTCGTGATTATTTCAAATATGTTAACATTAATAGTTGCTACTAGAAAACCATGGAGTCTAAGCAGAAATTGACCGCGGAATTTGTCTAAATATAACTGTACTCTCGCTAGTATTTCGTCAAGCATCCTCTAGGTGACTAAAAATGGATTCCAAACATTATAAAATGATTTAGATTTATAATGAAACAACGCTGAATTAGTTTTCTGACCCATGATATATATATATATGTGTGTGTGTGTTTGTGTGTATATGGTTAGGAGGGGAGAATATTATATGTACAACTTTTATTTATAAGATAATACATCTCCTTGTAAATAATTTAATTTCTTAAATTCTAAGTGGAAGCCTAGTGACCCACCACTAAAGAAAAAGAAATCAAACATTTAATCATAACGTTACAAAACTTTTTGAATAGTGAAGTATGATCCAAAGGGTCTGATAATAGAATAAAAACAATACTCCTGGTGTTTTTGATGAAATAATAAGTGAATATTTTTCCACTATAACAAATCTTCCACGAGACTGGGAGTCTTCTGAACCGTAACAATAGCTGGTTACAATCGTTACTTTTTTAGTTACAGATAAATAACTGCTTTTTTCGTTGTGCGCAAAAAAAAATGGTAAAAACAAAACACAAAATTATTTTTCATATAATGAAAGTAGCTTTATAAAGATAGGGTTTTAATTGTCCAATGGGCGTGCTAAAAACTTTTTGTATTCTACAATGATGCACGTGAACGTCATAATGCAGTTTTTGCCATGAAAATATATGAATGTATGAGTTTCTGACTGAAGTCATTTGAAAAAAAAAAGAAAAAAGTCGATTGATAATACAAGTTTGGGTTACATCAGAACTTTTACTAGCTATATAATTTTGATTGAAATTAATATTTATTGTTTTTCCAATTCGACATAATAAACGTGTTTTGGGTCAGATTTCAGGTGGTACATCTTCAGAAAAGCCAGTGATATTTCTGGAATTTGGCATCCATGCCCGAGAGTGGATATCTCCGGCTACCGGAATTTGGATAATTAATGAGGTGATTTGTATCATGGTTGAAAATGATTTTGTGTCAATATGTGAGATTTGTTCCATAAACTTTATGAACGGCGATAGTATAGTATAGAGGTGGGTGATTAGTGGTATATGCTAATCGATTCGACAGGCCCATTAGTCAATTAGATTCGATTAATCGATTAGTTGAGTGTTTTTCAGACTATGGTATACACGTTTCCAGTCCCCACCCCGCTCCTACGAGCAAACAAAAATTGCCCAAGAGTTGAGGGTGGGTGCTGCCAGCTAGTCGTACTCTCTCTCTAATCAGGAGTTTAAAATTAATGACAGAGGCAGATAGTCTTAGTAACAACTGCCCAAGAGTTGAGGGTGGGTGCTGCCAGCTAGTCGTACTCTCTCTCTAATCAGGAGTTTAAAATTAGTGACAGAGGCAGATAGTCTTAGTAACAACTGCTCAAGAGTTGAAGGTGGGTGCTGCCAGCTAATCGTACTCTCTCACTAATCAGGAGTTTAAAATTAATGACACAGGCAGATAGTCTCAGTAACTTTGCCCAAACAAAGACCGATCGAACAAGTTTGGTGGATGGGAATCGAACCTGAGACCCTCGAACCACAAGGCCATGCTAACCAAAATTTGAACAAACTTGTTGTAAAAAAAAGTTTGAATGCTACAATCGGGTTTTGATACCCGCAGTTGGCACGGCACCCAGATCACATATTATGTAACTTTGTGTTTAACAACAAACGTGTTGACAATATTTCGATTATTTTGGTAATTGAAATAATCGAATATAGTAATAATCGGAATCCTTATTTCGATTAATTGTTCATTTTCGTGGCAATCGATTTAGTCGCCCCCCCCCCCCCAGTGGCACAGCGGTATGTCTGCGAACTTACAACACTAGAATCCAGGTTTCTATACCCGTTGTGGGCAGAGCACAGATAGCCCATTGTGTCGCTTTGTGCTTAATTACAAACGAACAAACAATCGATTTACTCGTCCTCCATTGACGCAGCGGTATGTCTGCGGACTTGCAACACTATAATCCGGGTTTCGATACCCGTGGTGGGCAGACGACAGATAGCCCATTGTGTAGCTTTGTGCTTAATTACAAACGAACAAACAATCGATTTAGTCGTCATTTCGATTAATCCATTAATGGAATAATCGAAAACAGTAATAATTGGAAAACTAATTTCGTTGTGTTAATTATTTTCGTTACATTAATATATTTAATCGTAAATTCGATTAATCGATTAGTTTACGTGACATTACTGAATATAATCACTGCTCGTAGGTAGACCAATCAAATGCCGCGCACTTCATTATTCCAGCCGCGCACATCCTCAGTAATGGTGAGGAGTATCAACACGTTGACGGCCTTAATGACCCTGGCAGTCGATAGGCCTAAAGCCCAAATATCCAACTGGTAGCATTGCAAAGCGACTTACTGATCCAACAGGGTCGATGGTCTAAAAATACCCCCCCCCCCTAAAAAAAACAAAAAAACTTGTAGCACACATCCGCACATTGCCTTGATACTGGTGCACATGAAAAGAATTCATTCTGCACATGGAATGAAAAAATAAATTAAAGGGAATATCGTAAGTAGGTATTCATTTATGTCGCCCAGCTCTATGCAGAAATATGTTTTATGATTCTGAGTTATGCGCAGTATTTTCGGAAAGAACTGTATAATCCTTCCAACGATTTGAATACTTTAAAAATATGGCAAGTCTTAAGAATGAAAGGTGAATGAAAATTCAAATTTTCCAAGCAGGCGCTAATAAATTTGATATTAATTTAAATAAGCAGTATAAGAATAACTTTAAACTATCTTTCGTAGCTAAAAGAGTATAATGTGGAGTGTTTGTATATGAATATCAGTCATTTTCAATACTTGAACTCCTATAACGTTCCACTGGGAGACGATCCGTTCCATCGACCTACATGGGTTGACGAGAACTCAGTTGAGCATGGTTCGAGCTTTGTTACCTAAATGTTTTCATTTTAGTTTAAGAAATATTTTTTTTTCCAGAACATATCTTTTTTAATTTTAAGTTTTGATCTGATCGTGAGATAACAGTAGTTTATGTACTTCATACAGCTGATTACAACGTATTCAACGAATTCGAATATCAAAGAACTTGTTGATGTATATGAATGGCAGATAATTCCGTCAGCTAATCCGGACGGATACAGCTATACTTGGACCAATGTAAGTTCATCAATCGTAATGGATATGGCTACAAAAGAAGCAATGTAACGTTTACTAACCATGCAGTTTTCAGGTCAAAGTAGAACCAGGGGCGAAATTCTCCCGGTACACCGGTACTGAGTACCGGAAAACTTATTTTTTAAGTCGGTACTTATTTGAGCTGCTTTGTCGTTTGTTTTTTTTTATGTTTACACGTAGATTTCTTTTTCAAAAACAGGTCCACTTCGCCCAAACAAGTACCTCTACTCTTTTTTTCTTTTTTTTTAATTTCACCCCTGCTTAGAACAATGATTTTTTTATTAATTCTCTATCTTTGCATTCTATAGACTAACAGAGTCATGATTGTTATTAAATTAAGTGAATAAAATATGGTAAATGAAACAACCTCCGTCTCTTTAAAAGCAGTGGGCCCGGCATGGCCAGGTGGTTAGGGCGCTCGACTCGCAATCTGAGGGTCGCGGGTTCGAATCCCCGTCCCACCAAACATGCTCGCCCTTTCAGCCGTGGGGGAGTTATAATGTGACTGTCAATCCAACTATTCGTTGGTAAAAGAGTAGCCCAAGAGTTAGCGGTGGGTGGTGATGACTAGCTGCCTTCCCTCTAGTCTTACACTGCTAAATTAGGGACGACTAACGCAGATAGCCCTCGTTTAGCTTTGCGCGAAATTCAAAACACGCATTCTAAATTTTTGGCAAAATAAATTATCTTATTTGTGACTTTAATAAAAGCATAATAGAAGACATAAAGCTAAAAAACTCAGAAACGTAATATTGTTACACAACGCCCTAAACGAATTTCAACGTCTATCTAACAGTTAACAAAGAGCAGAGGAGATATTATCTCGCGCGTGAATCCTTCCAAATACAGTTTTTTCCAACATAAACCACTGTTTGTGGATTCAATTCTAATACACACTGACAGAATCGCTTCACAATAAAAACTAGAATTTTAAGGGCACGACTATGAAAAATAAACATCGGCTACTATATAAGTACTTTTAAATGTTTTTCGTTTTATGCCTCTTTTTTATGATTTAACAAAATGATCCCCAGGGCCGTTACATTAGTGGACATTTCGACTCTACTACCATATGAAGAAATAATGATACTCTTTCTCTCTCTCTTCATAGATTTCGGGATTCTTTATCACAGAGATAGACATTAAAATACAAATATAAGCCAGGCCTGGCCGAGTGGTTAGCCTGTTGGGTTGTTGATCTGAAGGTCTAAGGTTCAAGTCCACAATATACCGCTTAAAATGGGTGCGTCACCAAAGTCAGAGTCAATCCCACTATTCGGTTAAGATTAGCTGCGCAGCTGAATGCTTGTCTTCCTTTGATCAGCAGTTCTAAGTTACAGATGGCTACACCTGAACTTTGGAGTCACTACGGATGACTATAACTGAACTTTGGAGTCACTACGGATGGTTGTAACTGAACTTTGGAGTCACTACGGATGGTTGTAACTGAACTTTGGAGTCACTACGGATGACTATAACTGAACTTTGGAGTCACTACGGATGACTATAACTGAACTTTGGAGTCACTACGGATGGTTGTAACTGAACTTTGGAGTCACTACGGATGACTATAACTGAACTTTGGAGTCACTACGGATGGTTGTAACTGAACTTTGGAGTCACTTATTTGTTTCTTTAAGCATAGAGCTGCACAATGAGTTGTCTGTATTGAGTCCACTTTGGGGTTCGAATCCCGAACTTTAGTGTTATACGCCCATATCTGGCCATATAGTTTACGTGTTGCATAAAGTGCCTTTTTGGTTTGAAAATACCAGATAATTCATTTATACTTCCTTAGATTCTCTGGTTTTTGTAAACTTTCAGTGTGTCATCCCGCACCACTTTTCATATTTTTGTTCTATTTGTGTCACTTAGATCAACAATAGTTCGCTTACAAAGAAGTGCTTATTTCTGGTGAAAAAATTAACTAAACAAAGTTCATATATTTTATGAAAACCTGAGTTCTTTTTCTTGGAGTGGTCTGTTTGGAATTTCGTGCAAAGCTACACGAGGGCTATCTGCACCATCTTCTCTACGTTAGAGGGAAGGCAGCTAGTCAGCATCACAATTCTTGAGCTACTCTTTTGCCAACGATTGACTGTCACATGGTAACGCCCCCACGACCGAAGTGGATTCGAAACCGCAACCTTTAGTTTGCGAGTCGAGCGTATTAACCACCGGGCCATGTCATCCTCTATTTCTTGACATCAATTGGTTATTAGCTAGAAAATCTCTTGAACCTTATAAAAACATACAGTGTTAATATTTGTAGGAAATGAGTGATTTTATTTGGATATATTGAAACAGTTTGTTGTTATGTTTAAGCAACAGCAACTTCCGGGTTCGTATCAAACAGTTAGCAACGGTAACTTTTTCATTACTGGGTTAGTATTCAAAGAACAGTTAGTAACGGTAACTTCATTTATTTCTGGGTTAATATTCAAAGAACAGTTAGTAACGGTAACTTCATTTATTTCTGGGTTAATATTCAAAGAACAGTTAGTAACGGTAACTTCATTTATTTCTGGGTTAATATTCAAAGAACAGTTAGTAACGGTAACTTCATTTATTTCTGGGTTAATATTCAAAGAACAGTTAGTAACGGTAACTTCATTTATTTCTGGGTTAATATTCAAAGAACAGTTAGTAACGGTAACTTCATTCATTATCATATAAAAACAAATTAGCATAATTCATTTTTACGAAACCTAAAGTGAAGGGTTTTTAAGCTGGCAGAGTGTCTAGTATATTGTATTCGATACTCACTGAGAATCATAATAAAACAGAACATTTTATTTGCTGAGGGTTGTATGACCTGTTCCTTTATATGTAAAGACCCTTCAGCTGGCAGAGTGTCTAGTATGTTGTATTCGATACTCACTGAGAATCATAATAAAACAGAACATTTTATTTGCTGAGGGTTGTATGACCTGTTCCTTTATATGTAAAAACCCTTCGATTTTGTCCTGTTTTATAAGAAATATTTTCAAAAGTAATATTGTATGCTCCAAAATTAAACTATTCCTTTTTTATTTATGTATTTTCGTCTCTCGTCACAGTTTTGGAAAAGAAACAGAGCATAACTAGTGTACTCCAAATCAAACTGTATACGTTATGTTTTTACTGCGATACTCTGCCTTGTGTCCTTTCAGGACCGGATGTGGCGTAAGACACGTTCCAGGATTGTGTCGAATTGGTGCAGAGGTGTTGACCCTAACCGAAATTTTGACGTTGATTTCTGTGGTAAGTTTAAACTCTTATCTATTCTATAGTATTAAGGCTGATTTGTATGCTAAACCATAAACTGGAAAACTAAGCTATACAGTTTTCAAAGTAAATTACAATAATATATCAATTAGATAAAGTGCATTATTCCCAACTTTTATTTTTCGTAAAATCAGTGATAAGGAAAATGTTGTTGTTGTTTTTTTCCCCCAGAGGATTAATTACAATGTCAATTTTTTAAAAATATTTTACAGTAAATCAAAATGAAAAAAAGTAAGTTATTTTATACAAAGAAAAACTAAAGCTGATTTTATAGGCACTGTAGTATAATATATGCAAATGTTTATATCGTTTAAAAACTGATTCGAATTGGCCAAAGTTTTCTATTTTTATATCAACCCATTTATACAACCTTGATAAATACTACACGTTTAACATGCAGTAACAGTATTAAAATAATTGTAATTACATTGGGTACCTGGTGTTAAAAATAAAATATTGTAATAAAAAAAATACACACGAGAATTAATAATAATAAGCTATAAAATAAACGTGATTACTGGTGGCCAGTTGTCCCCCTATAGTCGGTAGCTCGGAAATAGGGACAGCGCACTGATAAATGTGATAAACCTCTCTAATATGTAAATATATCACTCCATTAATTTACATCCAAATGTTAATGAAATTGATTTACACAATACACTAATTGTATCCACAATGGTTTAAATCGGTATTGGGTGCGATTAAAACATTAAATACATTTAAATTTATGAACTTTAACATGAACTACGTGGCTTTAGCATCAATATCTGCTCCTAATTGTTTTTAAATCCAATTTCATTTCTCATGTGATGCTTATGAATAGGGGTTTAAACTCCTGGTAAACGATATATCCCAACATTTATGTAAGTCCTATGTCTTCAGACACCTCCTAGGGTACATTTAATCATTCTTATATTTTACTTTCTATCCTAGTTATATATTTCTGTTGTTTATGCATGACACTTCTTGTATTTTGGTTTAGTTCTGAGGAATTATTTAAAAATTATCAAAGGTAACGAAATGCTTATTTTATGCTCCCTTTCCTTTACACGTAAAAATTAACGTAATTATTTTGTTATCTTCATAAATAAATATTTATTTTTTATTTATGTTACTCTCTATCGATCTGTAAAAGTAAAAGTAAAAACAGATACTAGAAGATAAGGAGGAATCAATGGTGTATCTTTATCTATATAATAGTACTGTCTGTTGTATGTCCATGTAACTACTTCGCAGAATTTGGATTAGGTCCATGCGGGGGGCACATACAAATTTTCAGTATTGCGTTTTGCGGTTTTTATGGGCGTTGTTGTGTTTTTTTTACCACTACCTCACCTCCTGTGGATGGATCTTCACCAAGTTTGCTATGGAAGTTCATTGGGTCCATGGGGAGATGCACACAAATGTTCAGTTTTGTATTTTGTGTTTTGCAGTTTTTATGAGCGTTTTTGCGTGTTTTTTTTTTACAATTACATATAAGGGAAGCAACTTTTAATGTCATAAGATAACCTTTCATTAATCATGAATTTACATAACTTCCGTCCAGGGGACGGGTACTCCAGCTGGTAATTAATATAACATCTAAATCACAGGAACATCAAAGAAACTTATCTTAAAAAATATAAAATTGGTAAAGAGCGCTGTGGTGGAATATGCTAATGACTAAATAATATTGAATAATATTTTTACAAAATAAATCTATTTTGATTAGGACTAGTGTCGTTAAGAGCATTGTTTGAATGGTATTAATATTTCATTGAATCAGTTTGAACATCCATCACGATAAAAATTATCCAACTAATTCCATGGCCAACTTCTTACGAACTTGCTTAGGTTCAATCACTCCAAAAGTTCAATGTTCTTGGATTCAATCATTCCAATATTCAAAAGTTCAATGTTCTTTGATTCAATCACTCCAAAAGTTCAATGTCCTTGGATTCAATCATTCCAATATCCAAAAGTTTAATGTTCTTTGATTCAATCACTCCGAAATTCAAAAGTTCAATGTTCTTAGCTTCAATCAGTCCAAAAGTTTAATGTTCTTTGATTCAATCACTCCAAAAGTTCAATGTCCTTGGATTCAGCCAGTCCAAAAGTTCAATGTCCTTGGATTCAGTCAGTCCCAAACTCCAAATCCAAACACGATTGCTAAGAGTATAAGTATTTCGTTTTAAAATCTGTTGAAAATTTTCGAGCCGCTCTCTGATGACCTATCTCGTTGCACCGAATGTCAAAATAAATAGCACAAAGCAGGATTAGCAGACTGAAACCTGTTAATCAGTAATATCAAAACAGGATTAGCAGACTGAAACCTGTTAATCAGTAATATCAAAACAGGATTAGCAGACTGAAATTTATTAATCTGTAATATCAAAACAGGATTAGCAGACTGAAATATGTTAATCTGTAATATCAAAACATGATTAGCAGACTGAAATATATTAATCTGTAATATCAAAGCAGGATTAGCAGACTGAAATGTATTAATCTGTAATGTCAAAGCAGGATTAGCAGACTGAAATATGTTAATCTGTAATATCAAAACATGATTAGCAGACTGAAATATATTAATCTGTAATATCAAAGCAGGATTAGCAGACTGAAATATATTAATCTGTAATGTCAAAGCAGGATTAGCAGACTGAAATGTATTAATCTGTAATATCAAAGCAGGATTAGCAGACTGAAATCTATTAATCAGTAATATCAAAGCAGGATTAGCAGACTGAAATCTATTAATCTATAATATCAATGTTCACTTATGTGGGTAATACTGTTGGTGTTCTGGCTTTACTTAAGACCAATGGGTCAATGAATTGGTTTTGCAAAGAACTCTGTACCATAAATTGAAGTCAATTGCTAAATGAAAAAATCTGTAATATGTGTAACATATATGTGTGTGTGCAAAAAATAAGAACTGAATATTTCAATACTATTCACAGGAGAAGGAACGAGCAAAGACCCATGTAGTGAGATATACTGTGGAGAATATGCCTTCTCTGAAAAAGAAACTCAGGCCATTCGTGACGCCTTATTGGCCATTAAAAGTCAGATAAAGGCTTTCTTTAGCTTTCATAGTTACTCACAACTGTGGATGATTCCATACGGCTACACTACCGCCAAAGTTCCCAATTACAATAACTTGGTACGTAAATAATAAAGTTACTTCTATTAATTTTAGAGTTATCAGTAAACTAACAACGTTCATGCAAATTCTACTGTGTCCACTTTCCATTTCGTATCATTAACGAACAACTGTTCACTCTTTATATTTTTCAACTGAATAACTTAAACATATGTTTAGATTTTCCACGACTGAACTAAAATATAGCTTACTGGAGTACATTCTGTAAGACAGTTTTTTT